TGTTCAAATCATGGGAAAATCCTACAAATGTTACAGGATAAGAAACTGGAAGTTAGTAGTACTATTTGACAAACCATACAGTATTTCATGACATATTATGCCATATCTTATATTAACAAAAGTGGAGTAACCACTGCACAAATGCACACATACAAAATATCTAAGCATTCAGTATTAGTGATAAACTGATGGAACAATTTAATTGCTGGTTACTTCCATGAAATAGGTGCACTTTAATTATAAACCTACTAAAGATACTCGAGATAAGACAAATCAAAAGGAAGAACTATGCATGAAAGCAATCTCAAGGAGCCAACTTCCCAAGTTGGGCTCAAATTTATGACATACAATTTCTACCAATTCAACTCAGATAAAGCAGTAAGTTTATTACTGCAGTTTAGTAAAGAAACAAATATACGGCTGTCTTTGATTTCTTTGATTTTTTATATGAGTGTATTTTTGAAGAACTATGCATTTCGCACTCTTTATATAAATTACAAAGAAAAACTCAAATCCTATTAATTTTAAAGTTGCCACCTATTCTGAAGTCCATAATTTAGATACAAAATTTCTTATTTTATAGTAACAAATGTTCACATCTTTGGGTCTGAATAAACCACAAAATGGTTCAGTAGTAGAACTACAGTCCTATGTCATGTTATAAATTGCCATGACAAGTGTTTTTATGGGTCTGAAGGCTGTTAGCACATGCATAAGTGTTTTTCTGATCACAAAATTGGCTTTCTCTGCATGATATTAAGGTAATAAAACTCCTTATTCACCTGATAACAGTCTCACAAACCCATAAAAGATGCCTTCCCATGGCAACTCACAACCTGACTTAAAACTGAACTGCTACAATTGTGCCTCCTAGTATGTATCATGTAAAAAACACCACACACACAATCATATTTACCAGAGGTTACAACCAAATGAAAATCATACCTCAGCTAGGAATTCAGTTCTGTACAAACTATTTTGCTAACTTTTGTGTGCTGAAACATATCGAGTACAAATTGAAAAATAAATTTAACTATAACAATTACTTAACATTTCCATTCGGAATTAAGATATGCGGCATTCACAGACTTCTACATAAAACATTTTAAAGCCTATCTTTTTTTTCCTTATATTTTGATTTTCTTTGCTAGGAAGGAGATAATGTGTCTGCCCTATCTACTGATGGTCAAAACCCATAATATAGGAATCCTATCCAGGCTAAAACTCAATTTCTCTCCCCCTTTTGTATATTCCATGTCCTACTGGGCAAAAAGACGTCCAAGAATCCTAAACTAACAAAACCATGCCACAAACATATGTATGCTTGCTTTACCAGAGCAATCCACAATCAAAAGGCAGGGCAGAGGACTGGGTACTTAAGATTTGATTGACTAATGGGCAACAACATGAATCAGAGATAGAGAAATATATAAGAGTAGAGAGAGCTATGTATGCAAACCACTTCCCATCCAATGGATCAACCAGTAACAGCCGATCAATGCAACAGAGCAAACAATCAAAGAAAACAAACATGTGACCAAGAAGGAAGACATCATTTCCAATATACACATGTTAAAAATACACCAACAAAATAAGGCCATCTTTGATACTGCAAGCCCAGAGAGTGATAAAGGTAAGACAGTCAAATATAAGAGACAAAATAAACTCTGAGCTGCATAGCGAGACAAGAGTAAAAGGCATTTTAATGATACAGAAGGAGAGTTCTCACATAACATTAACAGATATATGTATATAAGAATCTGTTCTAAATTTCAGTAATGAAGCAAGATCAAAGACTAGAATGGTTACTCACAGTTTTTGCACTTGCATTTCTTGATGAGAGTTTCATCCTTGATGTCTTCATGGCAGACCTTGCAGTAGAACCATGCCCTATGAAAAGAGGCAAAACAAAGTCAAATCAAATTTCTGTAACTTAATTTTTATTTCCATGGTAACCCCATGTTACATATTCTTACTTGAAAAAATGTATAGACTCTTAGACACAATATATTTTCCATCTGTTCAGAATCTAAAGGTTAACACAGTGTTCACAAAACCTTGTCTTCAGATCATATCTTGAACCAACTGAACCCATTCCACCCATTTACATCCTACTTCTTTATGATCTAATTTAATGTTTCATTTCTACATGGCAGGATTTAAGGTTCCCATGGCAGTGAATATGAATACTGCTGTTTTCTGGTTTGTAGCACCATGTAGTCTGGTAGAAGTTTACCAACATTTCAGATGCAGCAAATACCTATGAAACATTGGTAAATTTCTACCAGACTATATTGTTAATACAAACCAGAAGACAACCATGTCTATTCCCACTTAGCTCTACTCTAACATCAAACAAATTTACTCAGCAACATTAAACCAAGGACTTGCACAGACATCAACTTTCTTCCTGCAGACTTTTACTTTATAAAAATATCAACAGTAACAGTGGCATGAAATACTTTATTGTGTAGAAAATAAGCTATGACAAGATTTTCTCAAAGAGTAAATACAATTTGAGTTAGCCCTTTGAGCTTCACAGATAAAAAAGTATCAATGTTTAAAACTTTTGGGAAATAAACATTCAGTGAAGTAAGAAATATTTGAAGACAGCTATCTTCTGGGTTGTTGTGCCGTATAGTCTGGTATAAGTTTACCAACATTTCGGAGGTCCTTGCTGCCTCCATCATCAGGGCAATATTTGAGCCACTTAGTTAAAAGTGAAGTTATAATCTTAAAATACAAATATGATTAAATATTAAGTGCTATTTCCCTTCCAACGTTTGATTAACTCATTAACATTTAGTCAGCATTACTGTCCTTAGGTGTGATGGGCTCACAACATTTCATCAATGCTATCGCCCTTTCCAGGTATAAACATCTCTGAATATTTTTGCAGTGCTATCATTATTCCCAAGTATGAAAACTCTGTCTGTGGTATATTGTGTATATGACACTCTGACAGTATCACCTTCCTATAGGTTTTGTAAAATTATTCTGCACACCTCTAACAAAATCCTTGAATATGATGAATATAAATTAATATAGAGTAGATTGCAAACAGATAAATACCCATCATACAAAGGATACAAATTTCATTAATTTTTACATAAGTGGAACTTGCACTGCTGTGCAATCAAGCATCTCACACCTTACAATTTCATATTTAGCAAAACACCCTATCCATGGTGAAGTTAGATAGAAAGAGTAATCTGAAGCAAAGATGACATGACAAGCACCTCTTGACCTCATCAGCTGACTGTGCTATGAAGAATCCTTGTGTGTTGGCCTGTATCTTGGCACCTCGTGGATTGATGGATATCTTGCTATCATTGCCATCTTGACCCTTGATCTCGATGGCCAGAAGTAACAACTTCAGTATTGTGAAGCATAACCTGTTGAAATCCACAATATAACTACCTGATTTTCCCATCACCTAAAGTTCACTTTTAATTGCATCTTATCACTTATATAAATACCTTGCAAACTGAATTAATGTTTGTCTGCCATTATGAAAAAGAATCAAATGATTTTTCAACTATATCTAACATATTCTTCAAAATATTGTCCTGTCAATAACATTTATATTACAACTGTTCTAATAAGCAAAGAAAGTACTTTTTAAGTACTTTTACATGAACATTTAATCTGAATGAGCCCTACTTAACATTTTCCTTTACTGTTACCAAAATGAAATCATGTTTTTCTAACCACATACACCAGATAGAGCCAAGTGGCCATTTTTGTGCTTTGGTCATCTTTACTCAAGCAGAATGACCTCCGGTTATGAATTTACAGATGGTTAGGTGGGCCCTAGAATCATTCCAAATATGGCAGAGAAGAGAGAATTTCAACATCCCCGCCAGGAAACAAACCCCAGCGATCCAGTTTGTATCCTGGTAGACCTATCGTGGCCTCTAACTTTATATTATACAGTAAACCAGGAAACAAACCCCAGCGATCCAATTTGTATCCTGGTAGACTTATCATGGCCTCTAACTTTATATTATACAGTAAACAAATGCAAAGACATGTGACTCAGTCAAACGTATGAACACTGGTTACTACCAGGTGTAGTGCAAACAAAACCACAGAATTGCATAAACGAACATACGAGCAAGTTATAAACCAAACTAAAATTCAATGTAACAAACATTGTGGTCAAATGGTTAGCATTTCTGCTTCATATATTGGATGTCCCAGGTTCAAACTCTTGCCTGGAGAATGGCTATCATGGCCAAGGTTTTTTGTATTTCCTCAGACCCTCCAGGGAAATGCCTATTCAGTAATCATTAGGTGCTATATAATATAAGCCAAGTTAAGTAAACCATAAATAAATAGAATACTGTAAAAATTCAGCCCAGGTACACAGTTTTAATAAAACTGGTCTACTTTCCAGAAAATATGTAATATTCTTAGTATCAAGTAGGTGAATCTAACATATTAATATTAAATTATGATGGTTAATAACCATAACCATCTTCATGCACAGATAATACTTACTAAAGTTACATTATGCCATGCACAGTATAGCCACACAACATCTAATAATTAAAGCAATAACATTTTAAAACATCCAAATATACATACCTGCTACAAGAACAACAAAATGAAATTCAAGGAAACACAACCTTTCACATTCCTAATGAGCTAAAAACTGTGGTGGTTGATAATTTTTTCTACTTATTTAACATTGCGTACTGTATGGACTCAAAATAACCAGGAAGAAAGAACCGGAGGACATATTCTGATCCAGTCTCTGCAGGTTATGTTTGTGGCCCTACCTTGCTCTTGTTATAATACTTTTATAATTATGTACACTAACTTGTATAGAAAATCTACATACAATAAAAATTAATTTAACATAACAATATGACTGCATATATGATTTCAGTCTGACCTGTTAAATTTGTATAAAATGTTACAAAAGACATTTGATAGCAGTATGAATTATATTAAAATTATGCAAGTGACAAGTGATTTTAATATGTCTTTTTTATTTAATTACTTTCATTTTAATCCAAACATGGTAACAGCTAGATTAAGAAGATGTTTTACTAAGGCTGTTTTATTCAGGAATTAAAACAAATTAAATATAGAAAAGTCCACAAAAGACCAACGTCTGAAATGGGAGTATATCAGAGTCATGAAATACTGTGAACACATACCTCAAATATTAATAAAATGAGTGTTACAGATCTGAACACCTTTGTTTCTTTTCTACAGGATTTATCTGCCTTTGCTGACTTTAGGCTCAAAGCAAACAAATAACATCTCTGTTTCTCAATGTGTTGTTCTTTTTATTGGATGTTTCAATAGAAAATAGAGAGCTCTCAGTAGTAAACACAAGAGAATTAAACAGATTGGAACTACTTATGCTTTCTCAGGTGAGGATGTAAGAAACACAGGTCAAGAATCACTATGGAAAAATTCAG